GCCGATCCGGTGATCCACAGCGCAAATTTGTTGTATTTCCTCAGCGACCAGCACGGATCAGCTCCACGCATGACGAAGCGGATATCGTCCTCTTTTGGCAAAAGTAGTTTCGCTTTCACAAGGAAACAAACAGCGCCTTCACGACATGGTGGCGGCGGCAACAACAATACTACAGCGAGAATAAAAGTTACGCCTTCTTTCTTTGCGTGAACATTTGGGCGGCGTTATGCAAATCTTCCCACATTGTGCCATAGACATGTGGGGGCGTGTTAGAATGAGCCGTTTTAAGTAGGCGTGGTTGACTCTTAACTTTTATAAAGAATATCTCTTTGGATTTGAGACTTTAGTCTTTGCAACTTTACAGATCTTCTTTATGCACCAAGAGCTTGTAACACTCCAAAGAGAAAGGAAAAATTGAAATCACATCATATGACCCCTTTAACAGAGAGAGTACTGTCAAACTTGACAGTCAACCATCAAAACACCAATGGTACGATCTTCTTCCTGATCTCAGAGATTAACACATTTTTATTATCAAACAGAAGAATGAGCACTGAAGAACATTGAAAATATCTACTCTGCTTTGGTCTAACTCGGAATTAACAAGCAAAGAATCCATTAAAATTAACATTTTTATTAGGATCTGCCCTCAAATATTCTAAACAGTCAACAGGTGTATCTATAAAATTGTATTTTATAACAGATTTGACTGAAAAAAATATATTCTCAGGACAACCACATACTCACAAATATTCTGCCTAACCAAATTCTAAACACAGAAAAAGAAAAATACAGACTGAGCAAACCATAGAGATGGGCAATCAGAGCACCTCCCCCAGGTTAAAAATGGCTTTAAAAATGCAGATTGTGCATTCAGTGCATTGTGGAGGAGAATACACTGAATACACTGCTACTGTGTAGAAACATCTCATTATATAAAAAATTGACTGCTTTCTGCTAATTGTCATAAACATATTCAGAATGACATATTCATGTTGGAATGAGCTATAATTAAAGTCTGATATCCAAAAATAGCTGTTATATAAGTTAACTCGTGTGCAGTTTCCTAACAGGTGTGATTAATTTCATGAAACTATGAATGACTGTGCTTCTATGGGATTGCTGATGAAATTATGAAAGGGATAACAAAAGAGCCATTATATGGTTGGCTTACAGGTCACATGTGATCACCGTTACGCTTCTTTTATGTTTCGCTAATGATATGCGCCAAGGTTGTCATCCCATCCTCTATAGATTTAAATAGAGTTGCATTTCCTCACAGAAAAAAATAAACAACTAAAAATGAATAAAAATCACAAAATAAACAAACATTTACTTTTTTCAATAACTGTACCCCAGTTCTAATGAAAATTATGTTTTGAGTTATGTTTCTACCTATCTGATAGCAAAGTCTAACCAAACTTCAATTTCAAACTCAAACTCCTAAGACATTTTAAAACTACAAAAGCACACTTGCAACAATATTAATTTCAATTAATCATGAATTCAAATTCGAATTGCAATTCTTTTTGCAATCTCGAACTTAAATAAATTAAGTTCAGAAAATGAATTAAAATACAGCTGTTGTGGAGACAGTGGTCAGCCTGTCCGCCGGTCATGCATTCAATTTACTAACAAGCTCCAAAAGTATTCAAACTACCACCAGGCACGTTTTTAACGTCATTATACTCATTTACAGATCATATTTAGTACACATTTATCTTTTAAACAAGCAGACGATGCTTTTGTGACTGAAGCAGAGTCCGTAGCCTAGGCTACATCTCATAGCAGTTTGCGCGCACCACCCTGCGCTCGTTTGACCACAAGAGCAACACAACACCCCATATTACATTAGCACTGACGGACACAAGAAGTAGTTTCCTATAGGCCTACTGTATGTTCAAGCGAGTTTATCAGAGTCCTCATGTTTTAAACGATCATTTGCATTATACAAATATGACTGATCTGAAGAAAGAGGTAATTACGCGTAACTCCTCCGTGAAAACAGTCCTATATGATTACTTCACATTTTGTATTTAAGCGGCATGCGATATATTCAAAACTCCACATGCAAATATTATATTTTGCCTACCGTTGAGATGCCCGTGTGATCAAACTCCTATCCAAAACGCATCTATGTGTAGGACTTTCAGGTCAAAATTATTCAATATCAATTCTGCTCTGTCATACATACTTCTTTCCTCACGAAAACATGCAGAACTGACAGAAGTATAAAAATAACCCTAACACTTGATACCGCATACCTATACAGAGAGTATTTGCTGATCCTGTAGAAATAGAGCCGCTCTGTAATAAGCCCTCCCCACATCACTGCTAAAACAGAGCGCACAGGACTGGACTCAGTGGATCTGGATCGCCGTTCATATCTACAATTGCGGTCTCCAGGCCATTGTTTGGCGTTTACCGCCGTGTTGTCCCGCTTCTCCCGTGTGTGCTGAAGATTCCAGCAGGACAGCGGAGGGAGTGTACAGCGCGTCACACACGCGCGCGGTGGCTCATAATTTGAAGTTATCACACCCTCTACTCTCGCATAAACCATAGCAAAACAATGTGAACGTCTCCCTATCCAAACCTCCAATCTGTCATATACTCATCGCACATAGGCTACTCAAAAATAGACAAAGATAACTGTTTGTCATCACATCCTCTATAGAAAGCATATGCGAAAATAGATAGCCTATATGAAAACAGATGCATTTTCAATCCAAACGGAAAAATATGAAAAAATAAAAAATGATCCCAAAATAGACCAAAAAGTACCCCAACTCCCAACACAATTATCACAAAATACCAAATAAAAAAATTAAAGATATGCACCCCCTCAAAAAAATAAAAACAAACTGTTTTAATAAACGTAGCCTACCTTAACTCCTAACAAAATTGTTTTAGCTTTCAATCTATTGATTGATTGTAAGGCATACAAACCTTCAAACTTCAAGACATTTCAAACCTTTTGGAAAATTTCAAACAAGGGTTTTGTCTCCAAAACATTTGGGGGGGGGGGGGG